TGTGTGTGTGTGTGTGTGTGTGTGTGTGTGTGTGTGTGTGTGTGTGTGTGTGTGTGTGTGTGTGTGTGTGTGTGTGTGTCACATCAGATGTGGTGTGTGTGTGTGTGTGTGTGTGTGTGTTACTAGGGTTTCAACTCAGGGCCTTCCACCCACTCAGCTAGTCTTCTACCAATTGAGCTATGCCTCCAGCCTAGTTTTTTACTGGTGAATTAGAAATTGAATCTAGAAAACTTTTCTATCAAGCTGTCCAAGAAACATGATCCTCCACATGATCCTACCACTTCTGCCCAGCTAACCTGAGCTAAAATTTTAAGTTTCTTTGTTTTGTTTTGAATGTAATTAAATGTAAAAATGCATTGGTCTAGAAATGCATAGAGTGAATGTGAAGCTATATGTTTTTATGCATAGAAGATAAATGATTCCAACAATTCATAGAATTGTAGATTAAGCCCTTACCACGTTATAAACATGAAGGAAACAATATCTTATTCCTTTGATTAGATTTTTATATTGTCATAGATGATACATTTTGTGATTTATCTCATATTTTGATTTGTGAGTGCTTTAGAATGTAGTCCTGAGTCTTTCTTTTGAAGATATGCCTAGAGAACAATACTAAAAGTCAATTAGTAGACATATTATCATAAATTATATCATGTACCTTTAAAAATTATAGTGAATATTCATTATATGATAAAAGTTATGATTTGTAGTAGTTGCACTTAGTTGTTGGCTATATTTTTCTTTTATTCTAGGCCTGCAAAAATTCAATTTGCCTTGATTTATCTACTAATTGTTTACATGGAAGATTAACAGGAAATAAAGTAGTGAACTGGGACATTAAGGTAAATTAGTAATAATGGATAACAGTATAATTTAAGTAAATTAAGTACTCATTAAGGATTTTCTCTTTTACTTATCACCAGATGAATCTTAATAATCAGTCTCTGTTAAAGTTTTACACTGAGATACAGTTTAAAGAATAAATAATTGAGCTGGGTGCTAGTGGCTCATGCTTTCAATCCTAGCTACTCAGAAGGCTGAAATATTAGGATCACAATTTGAAGCCAGCCTGGGCAGGAAAGTCTAGGAAACTCTTATCCCAGTTAGTCATCAGAAAAATGGAAATAGAACTGTAGCTTAAAGTGGTAGAGCACTAGCCTTGAGTAAAAATACTCAAGGATAGTGCCTAGGCCTTGAATTCAAGCACTACAACTGACCAAAAAAAAAAAAAAGATAATAGTTGAATGATTATAGCACTTGAACCATAACTCCACTTGTGGCTTTTTTGGTAGATAATTGGAGGTAAGAGTCTCATGAACTTTCCTGTTTAGGCTAACTTTGAACCATGATTCTTAGTTCTCAGCCTCCTGAGTAATTACTATTGCAGGCACTGGTTCCCACTGTTATTCACATTTTATAGATAATGAAATTAAGAACAGAAATTAATGACTTATTATTAGAAGACAGAATATATTTTTGTTAACCTATGCAAAATATGCAAGGTATTCCTATCCCACTCTTTCCACAATTTTGTTAACTAAAAACAGAAGAATCTGTCATACTTTGCCATCAAGTACATTTTCCCCTGTTTTTTTTTTAATGCCTATTTGTCTGATGAATAAACAACTGTTTATTCTTTACATTGTTGAGGTTTTCCTACCAAGTATTATTTAGATTACTTTTGTTGAAATGTCTAATTTGGAAAACAAAAAATTACCTGAAACAGTCTCTGTACTGTTAGTTATGGTGACCTGTGAGGCTGCCCTTGAAACTTTAACAGGATTCTTTCAGCTTAGGCTGTCCTACACATTACTTAAGGTTTATCAACAACTTGCAATTGTATAGATACTGAATTTCCCTTGCTTCTGTAAAATTAAGAAATTGTGATTTTATTTTCAGGACATCATAAACTGCATCGGTGGATTAAACATCCTCTTTCCTTTATTGGAACAAATCAGCTACTTTAATGAAGGACAGATGGCTGAAGGAATGAATGAAAGCACAGTTCCTGAATTGATAGCACCCATAGAAGGAGAGTGTATGATATTGGCCTCCACAAAAGCATCAGGTATAACACAAACTGATAATTAAGAAATTTCAATAAATCAAAATATTCTACAAATATTAATAGGAAAGCTAGCCATTTGTAGCTCTAACAGGCACTCTGATTTAACAGCTAATAGTTGAGTAAGTTTATATGTGTCAAAACACTGAAGATGATAGTTTTCCCTAATTAATTCTCTTAATGAAAACAGAATCACACTGTTAAATTAGTGGTAGGGAAAGTAGTTATGTATGCGTGTAAGTATGCAGTATACAATTGCTGCTTTTTGTTTCCACTGCACAAAATGAGCCTTGAAAAATCTACTGACCCATATTCCTTCTTGTTATAGTATGCATTATGATACAAAGAATCTTTAAAAAGTGATTAGAGTGATCATGATAATTAATGCTGTGTTCCTGTTTTTGTAGAGTCCAGACTAGAAAAAAATCTAGTTGCAACATTTATCTTGATTATGAAGCACTTTATTCAGAGACATCCTATCAACCAGGACAATCTTATTCAGTCCCATGGAGTTGCAACTCTTGGTGCCTTACTTCAGAAGGTAAACCAGCCTAACATGGTATTGCTATAGCTGATGATTATAATTAGCAGTTAACATTTATTCTTTCTACCAAGTAAGTGTTATTGAAGATTACTGTTTTACCATCTATGTTATATTAGTTGATATAACTTGTCTCAAAGGAAGCATTTAAACTTTTATGGAATCATTATGTAAAATCACATTTACGAGTATACGCTCTTTGACCTGTATATCCTTGCTTGCTACCTTCAATATTTGAGATATTTGAAAAATGTAGATTATTTTAGGAATATGACATTAGGAAAATATGTTCTAGTGTTACATCAGAAAGATTAATGATTGAGTTGTTTTCTGCCCAAGATTTTTATAGTTCTACATTTAGTAGATGTTCTGAATTATTTGAAATTATAGTTTAATGACAAGTACTTAAACTGAACAATTATTTTATGAAATCACCTTTGTTTGGTTTCAGGTGCCAGGTACCTTAATGGATGTTAATGTATTGATGGCAATTCAACTACTAATTGAACAAGTATCAGTAGAGAAAAATATGCCCCTGCTGCAGCAAATGTATCATTATTTACTCTTTGATTTCAATATTTGGAACCGTGGAGATTTTCCCTTTCGAATTGGTGAGAGGAAGCTGTTATATAAAATTTTATAGTTCTTTTAGAAGTCTATAACTACCTATGTAAGTTTATTTTAGCTATATTACTTACAAGTGGACTTTCTGTTTTAGGTCATATACAATACCTTTCAACGATTATTAAAGATAGCAGGAGAGTTTTCCGAAAGAAGTATGGTGTGCAGTTCCTCCTAGATACACTTAGGATTTATTATGGGTATGGTATTTGGTATTCTTGCTTCTTCTTAGTTTGATGTATTGTTTTCTGCTTTCCGCTTGATAGAATGGGATTGGGTAAATGTTTCTCTTTATCAGCAATTCTAATACGTTTTATCTTCAGAGAAGTAGGATAGTGTGGAGGTTAAAATTTAGATGAATAATGTGTCTATTTAGTAGGTTTGAATACTGGTTTCAATAATTGTATAGCTATAGACAAATTAATGAAATTCTTTGAGTTACTTCAGTTGTGAAAAGTACATTAAAACTGACCTCTTAATGTCACTTTGAGAATTGCATTAAATAAATCAGTTATATACAAAGCCCACATATAGATATTTTGGCTTCATAGTACTATTGTAAGCTATTTTAATATTTTAAAATTTTTAACAAGAGAAAGAAGCTAAGTGCAAAATATCTAGTAATTGTTGCATGGAAATATATTTTTATGCTGTGAATTATATAAAAATACAAAAGTGTTCAAATTTCAAGACCTACACTTCTTTTTTCTTTCAGATGTGGTTGTAAATATAATGAACTATCTCCAGATGATATTCGAACAATAAGGACTTCTTTATATGGATTAATTAAATATTTTCTGTGCAAAGGTGGAACTCATGAAGAAATACAAAGTATTATGGGTTACATAGCTGCTACTAATGAAGAAGAACAGGTATTGTACTTGAGATACATTTGGGTTTTCTTGTTAACTTTTAAATTGATAATCTCATAAATTTACATATTCAGTTCATTAAATGTAAGAATAAAAATTTAATATAATGCAGTATTACATAAGGAAGCAAATTTTACCTAATTTCTGAAAGTTTAATAAATAGATGACATTGCAGTTTGGTTTTTTATTAGGTAGGAAATATGCATGCACATTATTACTGTGACAAAAATTCTGAGAGGAACAATTTCTTTTTGGTTGGTCCTGGGGCTTGAACTCAGGGTTTGAGAGTTGTTTCTGAGCTTTTATGCTTAAGGCTAGTGCTTTAAAACTGAGCCACAGTGCCACTTCTGGTTTTCTGGTGGTTAATTGAAGATAAGAGCCTTTTGGTGGGGAAACACTTCATATCTAAACATAATAGTTGCTTTGTCTGAAAGTTCTGAAGTCTACTTTATATGCGTATGTGCCAGTCCTGGGACTTGAACTCAAGGCTTGGGCACCTCCCTGAGCTTTTTTTTTTTCTCCAGGCTAGTGCTCTACCACTTGAGCCACAGCACCACTTGTGTTTTTTTCTTAGTAGTTTTTATGTTGAAGATAATAGTTTCATGGTTTTCCCTGCCCTGTCTGGCTTCGAACAATGATCCTCAGATCTCAGCTTCCTGAATAGCTAGGATTACAGGTATGGGCCACCAGTGGCCTAAAGTCTATTTTATAGTCCACTACTTTTATAGTGTGCTTACCTATTATTTGTTGGAGAACTTATTATATGCCTAGAGTAATATTAAACATTCATGAGTCAATTTTCATACTTTCAGCATAACAGTGGTCAATAGGAAAGGTTTACAAATAACTGTGAAACAAAAAAAGTATTATCTACATGGGAGATAAAAGTCCTATGACATTTTTATAAGCATTTTACATGTTTAGTTGTCTAGGGAATACCATGGAAGAGATATCTGTTAATATGGACAATGTAGAATAGGTATAGTTTCAACACATGTTGAATATTGAATGTGTGGAGCTATGCAAAACGAAGTGAGCAAGCCAAAAATGTATTGAAGGGGAAAAGCAGGGCTGGTGTAGAAAACATTACACATAGTGGGTAACACTGTTTAAAAAGAAATGTACTCATTACCTTACTTATGTAACTGTAACTCCCCCTGTTTATCACTTTTACAATAAATTAAAAAAAATCACCCAGTGCAGTTAACATAAAACATTAGGATGTATAGAACTTAAATATTTTTTATGGTTTATGTATTTTTGGTTGTATTCATAAATATGGTTCTTTGTTTCTTGTTTAACTTTAAAAGCTCTTTGGAATTTTGGATGTAGTCTTTGGTCTACTACGTACCAGCCCAACTAGAGGACAGCTTTTCTTACTGCTGTTTGAACCAGGAAATGCTGATATACTTTATGCCTTGCTGTTAAATCAGAAATATTCGGACAAATTAAGAGAAATCATTTTTAAGGTATAAACATAAGTATCTTAAGTTTTGGGAAATTTAGGTATATATGAATTTGCTTATAACATGTTCATTCTCTTAACAATGATTCTTTGGTGTGGTAGTGCGTGTGCGCACGTGTGTGTATGTGAGTTCAAACCAGTACTGTGGTTTGAACTCAGGGCCTCATGCTGTCTCTTACCTTTTTTGCTCATGGCTAGTGCTGTATTTCGAGTCACACCTTCAGTTCCAGCTTTTTTTGGCTGGTTGACTAGAATTAAGGGTCCTATTGATTTATCTCCCTAGGCTAGTTCCTCAGATCTCAGCTTCCTGCGTAGGCCTGTGCCTAATAATACCTATTTCTATTTTTTTTTTTTTGCGGGTCATGGGGCTTGAACTCTAGGCTTGGGCGTTATCCCTGCACTCTTCAGCTCAAGGCGGGCGCTCTATGGCTTGAGCCACAGCATCACTTCCGGTTTTCTAATGGTTAATTGGAGATAAGAGTCTCACAGCCCAGGCTGGAACCTCGATCATCAGATTTCAGCCTCCTTGAATAGCTAGGATTACAGATGTAAGCCACCAGTGCCCAGCTGTTCAGTTTGTTTTGATAAATTCTTTTCATGTTAATTGTTTGCATACTTTAGAACTATATTGTGGGCTGGGGATATAGCTCAGTGTTGAGTGTTTCCTTAGCATGTTCAAGGCCTGCATGGATCCCTGTGATAAATCATCTCAGTGGAATAGTCACATTATCATACCATCCTCAATATAAAAATTATCAATGTTTTAAAAAAGAAACAAGGTTTTTTAATGGAGATTAAATTGTTTTTTTCCACCAAACCTTTCAGAGGTAGTTTATGATATTCTGATGAGGTTTTATTATCTGTCTTAAAATTTTTTATCTCTGTCCTAAAACTATGGGACTGCTAATTCATTCTTCCTTATTTTAGCATATGGATTACTGAGTTGGTACAGAGATATTTTCTTGTTCATGAAAATTGATAACTGTCAGATAAATTGATTAATAGATTGACACAAATGTGTTTCTATACCTTTGTTCCTAATATATGTAATTTATATAATCTGTGTCATATTTAAAGTTTCAAATATTTCTTCAAATATAGGTACACTTATTTTTAACTTATTCTCAGATTAATTTATAATGGTTATATTTTATTTATTAGTTTGTTTGTTTGTTGGTCATGGGGCCTGAACTCTGGGCCTGGGCAGGCTACTTTGGGCTTTTTCTGCTTATGTGGTGCTTAGGAATTGAACCCAGGATCTCATGCATACAAGGCAAGCACTCTACCACTGAGCCACCTTCCCAGTCCCTCTAATGATTATATATTAATATAGCATTCTTCCCTATTAGTACGCAAGTGGGTATTCCTTTGTTGTTTTGTTTTTCATAACTTGGGTTTGAACCCAGTGCCGTGCATATGCTAGACAAGCATTTTACCACTGATTTATATCCTCAGCCCTGATATTTTCAGTCAAGATCTTGCTTTGGAGCTTAGGCTAGCCTTGAACTCTTCCTTCTGTCTTGATTTTACAAATGCTATGATTACAGGCAGCTGCCACCATGTCCAATTCATTTATTTTTATAATTAAGAAATAAAATGATTCTCAAGGAAACAATAAACACGAATATATCATGCAGTATTGACCTAAATGAAACACTGTTCTTTGTCCTCTGCACTGAAAAGACTATATTACTTGTGACCAGGTTATGGAACAAATGTTGAAATGCAAAAATGTGTATGAACGAAGTAAACAACGTATTCGACTTAGAGAAGTTGGCTACTCAGGATTGGGACTCCTTCTTAATGAATCACTCATTAATACTACTCTCATTAAAAATCTTACCAATCAAATCATCAATACAGGTATGATTAAGACTTATAATACTACATTTAAGATTTTTTCCCCCTAGAAGACAACCTTTCTCAGGAGGTTTGATTCAGCAGGTCTTCCTTAGGTATTATTTCTTTAATTGGTTTTTGTCTTTTTTTTTTTTTGTCTCTCCAGGTCACTTGCCATATTGCCTTCCTCAGTAACTGTTTAGCAACTCAGTGACTAAGTTAATAGTTTAATTCATAAACAAGCAAAGGATAGTAAAGAAAGTATGTACAAAAGATTCTTTTTTTCAAAAGAGCTTTAAATTTTTAAAGGCAAAATGAAAGCTAATTATCTGAAATTAGCTTTATTTTATTTTATACTTTATTATTTTAAGTTAGCATTTTATTTTACTTTATTTCTCTTTTTTGTTTGAGATAGGGTCTCAGTAGGTAGCTCAGACTTCCCTCAAATTCATACTCTTCCTGCGTCAGTGTTCCAAGCACTGGGATTGCAGGTATATGTTACCACATTTAACTCTAATTTTTTAGTAATAAGTTGGTTTTTTTTTTAATTTGTTTTTTTCAATGACAGCCCTGGGGCTTAAACTTAGGGCTGGGACACAGTCTCTAAGCTTTTGTGTTCAAGGCAGTGATCCACCATTCTGCCTTTTTTGTGGCTATTTAGAGGTAAGAGTCTCACAGACATTCCTGCCTAGGCTGGCTTCATACTTTGATCCTCAAATTTCACACTCCTAAGTAACTAGTATTACAGGTGTGAGTCACTTGTGCCTGACTATAGTAAGTTTTTATCAGTGTTTTGAACTAACTAGAATTTATAATAGATACTGGGTGTGGCTGTCACATTTTATGTCATACTGGATATGATAAAAGATGTTTTTACCCGGGTACAGGCTCATGCCTATAATCCTAGCTACTCAGGAGGCTGAGATCTGAGGATCACAGTTCAAAGCCAGTCTGGGCAGGAAAGTCCAAGAGATTCTTATGTCCAATAAACCACTAGAAAACCGGAAGTGATGCTTTGGCTCAAGCAGTAGAGCACTCGCCTTGAGCTGAACAGCACAGGGACAGCGCCCAGGTGCAGAGTTCAAGCCCCAGGACCGGAAAAAAAAAAGAGATTCTTTGTTTTGAGTAGTTTATCAAGTATCATTGATTACTTGTGTCTTTTTTTTTAATGTGAAGGTAGTGATTAAACACAGGGCCTGGCACATGCTTGGAAAGTGCTTTACCAAGTGATTTACATTTCCAGCCCTGAGTGTCTTGATAACAAAGCTAATGTTTTATGCACCTTGGATCTCCCAAGCCTATTAAAGTTCCAGTTTCATCAAGGCATTTAAAAGAGTAGGCACAAAAAGAGTAATAATGTATTAGTGTCATGCAGTAGTGATAGTATGTTCAGATAATGTCAACAAATTATTTGAGATTGTCTTAAGAAATCATCAAATTATCTTGTAAAATTTGAACATACCTAGAATTCTCATTTTAGTGAATCAATTATTTTGACATGTATATAAGCAGTACCCACAGTTCTTTCTTTCACTGTCAGTGAAATTAAATTTAAATTTTTTGCTTCTTCCCAATATAGATCCTGTTATTAATTTCAAGGATCTGCTATCTGTTGTATATATATCACACAGAACATACATAAATGTCAGAGTGGTTCTCTGTAGAAAGGTTAGTAAACTTTCATCATACTGCAAATACTTTTGTATTCAGTAGCTTGTATCACAGAGGTTTTCATTTTGCTTATGCTGTATACCATTATATACTTTATGATTTCTGTCTGAGTAAATTAATAGCAGGTGTATATTGGCATGTAGATGATCATTTATTTTTTAATCTTTCAGCATACATCTTAAATGCATCCTTTTTTTTTTTTTTTTTGTTGGTTGTGGGGCCTGAACTCTGGACCTGGGCACTGTCCCTCAGCTTTTCAGCTCAAGGCTAGCACTCTACCACTTGAGCCACAACACCACTTCCGGCTTTTTTCTTTTTGCTTATGTGGTGCTGAGGAATCGAACCCAGGGCCTCATGCATGCAAGGCAAGCACTCTACCACTGAG